GCAGGAGCGGGAGCACAAGGAGGTGCGTGGAGGGTGGAGTTGGGGGGGAAGGGGGGCGCGGAGGCCCCCACGCGGGGATAGACCCTGCAGGGGCTGGACTGGGTGGGGAGGGATGGGGGCGGCTGGGTGGGCAGGGTGCTGCACCCCTGTCCCCACGCAGGACCCAACCCTGGCAGGGGCCGTCCATCAGGGTGCAGTGCCGGCGGGGGATCTTGGGTGAGGTGAGGTGTGGCACCCCTGGGAGGGGTCCGTGCTGCACCCACGTCCCCAGGGGGGACCCAATCCCCACGTGGGAAGGTGTGCAGGCGTGGTAGTGGTGGAACGCCTGGTGTGGGGTGGGTGTGACAGCCCTGTGCCCGCAGGGGACCCCACGCTGGCATCACAGGACAGGGTGCTGTGCCATCAGGGTGCCCAGTGGGGTGGGCAGCCTAGGACAGGCATTAGGGGCAGACCCGCTGCCAGCCAGCCCGTGGGGTTTGGTCCCACTGCAGGGCTGAACTCGCAATCCCCATGGGCGTAGGGCCGGGGGTGAGGGTGCCTGGGACACCCCGCGGTGGCCGCCCCCGTGGTCACGGGGCACCCATCTTCTCCGTCTCGTTCCCACAGTTTCATCAAGGCAGTTTTTCTTGGCGCGCTGGCAGCCTGCCCGGCCTCCACTCCCCCTCCACCAGCTCTTTGTGTCCCAGCGTTTTGGCAGCGGGATTTTTTCCATCACTCCCATTCCCAGATGCGGCTGAGTCACCTCCCAGATTCACACCCACGAACGTCCCAAGGAGCCCGGCACAGTGCTGCCTTCCTGGGCACTGCTGCCTCGAGTGCGTGGGGCCTCTGCGGGGCTGCAAGCAGATGGGAGCCTGCGAGGCTTATGGTGCAGTGGCATTCCTACCTCAGCATGGGGCATTTGGGGATCTTGGAGGGGGGGGATATTTCTGGGGGAGAGCCCAGGGGCTGCAGACATGCTGGCAAGGAGCACAGCAGCAGCCCTGAGCCAGCTCCCGTTCCCTCACGGGCTCTTGGGTCTGCAGGAAAACCCTTTTGCCGACGTTATTAGTCATCAGGTGCCTTAAAATAGAAAGCGTGTGTGATCCCAGCCCTGAGGAGCTGTCGGGCCTCAGCAGGCACTGCTTAACGTCACCTGCGTGGCTTCTGCAGCTGCTCTGCCACAGCCCTCGCGCTGCGGGGTGGGAAGGGTGGATAGGGGCTGTACCCCCTCGCCAGGCACGATGGCCACGGGGAGCTGGGGGCTGAGCATCAGGGCAGGAGCTGCCCCGGTTGGGGAGTGCAGTGCCCTCCTGGCTCCCGAGGGACCCATCCTCGTGCTGGGCAATGGCTGGCGCTAACAATAGCGTGTCAGGAAACGCCGCGTTCAGACAGCGCTTCCTTTGAGCCACGCAGCGCCCCGTGCTCCCGAGCTCGTTTGCTTTGCTCCTAACGAGAAACCTCCAGGGGACTCAGTGCTGAGTTTCCAGAGTGCTCTGGGTCTGCCCTTCAGCTTCCGCACCAGTCTCAGGCGTTCTTTCCCAGCCTTGGGATACGCACTAAGAGCACTTGGCTCAGCTGTGCTTGCTGCAGTCGCTGCTGAATGGTTTTGCTTTCAAATTCCTATTTTGTTTGGTCTGTGCTGGGACCAGGGTGGGGTCCGAGGAACTGGGCATGACCCTTTGTAGCCCGGCTGCTCCTTTTGTTTTCTAACCGAGTGAGAAGGGATGTTTGCAGGTCAGATATTGCAGGGGAGGAAAACAGGAAAACAACTCACGATTCTGTTTGCACCATTCACCCAAAGCCTGATAGCAAGGTCATGGTCAGAGAGGGGGCTGTGGGTTGAACTTAGGGAGGGACAGGGTCCCCCGCACCTCCCTGCCGCTGGGATTGGGGGGCAGAGCTCAGTGTTTATCCCTCATGTCTGCAGGCCCAACAAGCCAAATTCCTCAGTGATGTGGAGAACGAGCTGGAGGAGCTGACAGTCACCATTGCACAGGCCAAGAAGATGGTGGAGCTCATTAAGGTGACTCTGCAACAGCTTCACTCCATTAGTATGGCTCTGCTGGGCCAGGGAGCAGAGGAGAAGAGGCCATGAGCTTCTGGGGCTTGTGGGGTGTGGAGGTGGTGCTCCCAGGGGAGCAAGTGCTCTGTAAAATGGTGGTGACCCTGGCAAGGCTCCATGAGGATCCTTGTTTCCCATCTCTGTTAACCCTCATGGCATCTCTGATTGCTTTCATTTGCAATCTGGAAGGAGGAAAAGGGCAAGGACCGTGCTGGAGCATCCACTGGCTCTTGCACCTTCTCTCGTGGGTTTTGGTCCCCTTTGGCTCTTGTGTAAACATGTCACTTCACCACCTGGGGACATGAGACATGATGGAGCAGTAATTGGCTGTGCCCAGCCAGGTCCCTCGACACCTGGGTTGTAAAGTCCTCTGAGCTCTTGGGTGAAGGGGGTGTCAGGGGGACCCCACAGAGCTGAGAACTGGGTGCTGGGCAGGTGACAAGGGTGCTCTCCTGCACCCTCGCCTGCAGGAGGTGACCCCAACCCCTTTCTCCCTGCGGTTAGGGTGCTGCCACAAAGGAGAGGGAAGGAGTTGAGAAGCTCTTTGCAGAAGCCTCCGAGGTCCTGGCGACCTTCCAGAAGGAGGTGACCGGTTTCATCGAGGAGGGGGAGCGCTCCATGCTGGGGGAGGCCGAGGCTGATCTCCGCTGGAAGGAGGAGAGACGAGCGAAGCTGGCCCAGTGCAAGCAAAACCTGGAGAATGTCCCCGGCACTGACACCATCTACTTCCTCCAGGTGCCTGGGTGGGATAGGGCAATGCGATGGAGCTGATAATGTTGTCTTTTGGGGTTTTGTCCCCATTTCATGTGGAGCTGGCTGCCAGGAGCCCTGGCATGTGAGAGCTGCAGAGTCTCACTCCCATTGGCACAGTCCTCCCTCCTCCCTGCTCCTGGGGGGACCAGGCGGTCAAGACTTTCTCCTCCATCACCCCCACTTCTATTCTGGCCATGACTCAGGAGAAGCTGATGTGCTGCCCAGGCACATCTTGGGGTGGGGAGCAGAGAGCCAGAGTTTGGGGTGCCCCACTGCCCCCATCCAGTATTCCCCCCCTCCCTGACAGCCCAGCAGGAGGAGACCTTTCTGGGAGGAGATGCTGCTCCATGCGAGGTGAGCATGGTCTGGCTCCAGGATTGAAAGGGAGCGTAGAGAAGGTGCCAGGAACACGTGGCCGGGAAAGCGCTCTCCTCCCTTATGCAAGGCTGTCCTTGGGCCAAGTCCTGTGAGCTGCCAGTTCCCAAATCCTCAGGGTCAGGGTGGGGTTGTGGAACAAGAGACAATTTCGGCTTGTTTAAAACCTCCTGAAACTCTGTCTTTCTGGCTCAGGAATTTCAGGCTTTAAAAGTAGCCATGGAAGAAAACCTCTCCCCATCTCTGAGCTTCCAGAACGAGCTGAACTTCACCAAATGCACCCAAGCCGTGAGTGCCATGAAGGATGTGCTGTCTGCTGCCTGCAAAAGCCAGTGGGACCGCTTGCAAGGGAAAGCAACTGATGGGCTGAACTTCCAGGAGATGGAGGAAGGTTTGTGCTCACCCGGCCTCTCTGCGCGGAGGTCACCTTGTCACCCTGCATCCTCCCTGCGTAGGTGGGAGATGCCTGCAGGCTCGATGGCTCCTGCGAATGCTGGCCCCTCTCCCAGCAGCCCTGGAAGCTGACTGGCACGGTTGCGCTGCACGTTGCACAATCTCTGTCTGGGCTTATGCCTCATCCTTGAGGTTTTATGAATTTTTCCACGGAGACCAGAGACTGGAGAGGCAACAAACAGCCTGAGAGTTAGGCAGGGCCCTGTGGGAGGGGGCAAGTGGCCAAAGTGGCCTCCCATGAAAGGGAACTCTTTCTTCCCAGGATAGATGATCCTCTTCACGGGGAAGGCTGTGGTCTCCCACACCTGCCAGGGTTAGAAAGCCACCACAGCAGCCTTCTCCTACGTGCTCTCGTTTAGTCTGAGCTGTCTCGTCTCATTTTCTTGGATGCCTGTAGGAATTGCAGCCCGTTCCTTGTCTCCTCCTGCTCATCAATCTGGGGTGGCAAAGGTGGCATCTGTCCTGTCCCATGTCTGAGCTGGCAGGGACGTGCAGGGGGAGCTGGGGATGCTGGCTGGGGCTTGGGGGCTGCAGCAGCTGGGTACGTCAGGGTGTCGGGTGGGGGGTGATGCTCCAGTAACACCCTTGTTTGTGTCATCGGTTTCTTTTGCTGATGGCAAACCCTTCTATCCCTGTCCCTGCAGCTGAGTCCCGATTTCCAGACAAGTCAAACAATCCCGCCTGCCAGGAGAGCCGTGATTACTTCCTGAAATGTAAGTGAGGGACTTTTGCTTTGACAGTGGTTGCTAAGGTCCATCTTCCCTTTCCTCTCTCCCTGCGGGCTGGCTCCTTCCCGCATGACTGGCCGGTGCTGGTCCCAGGCCGACAGCTGGCAGGAGCGCTGCCGCCACCAGAGGAAACACTGCTCAGCCAACAAGGAAGCCTCCTTGCTTTCCTGACAACAGTCATAATCTGTTTAGGTGACTTTTTTTTTCTCTTGTCTGTGGTTCTGCTGGACTAGCTGCCAGGGAGGTTGCAGGCATATCATGTAATTTCTGCTGCCTTCCAGCCCTTGACGAATTGGATCCTCTATTAAATTAGATCAGAGTTTGTGCATCTGCCTTGCTTGCTGCGGAACAGCAGTGTGATGAGGGTCAGCTTCAGTGGCAGCAAGCAGAAGGATAATTCACTGGCTGAGCAGAGACAGTGGGGCAGAAGGGGCTGAGTTTGGAGGGTACAGGGCTGGTCTTGGGCTCCAACATTCCCCCCCCCCCAAGCCTTACAGGGAATGTGAGGTCATCTACTGAGATGTGCACAGGGCACAAGATCTGCCTTGCTGGCATCAGTGCATCTCACTGGGAGCCAGGCAGCAAAGCCTGGCAGGACGTGCTGTGCCACTGCTCTAGGGTTTGGACATGCCAGTGGTTCAGACCTGCAATGCAACTGGCACCCCCTCTGTTTGGGATCCAGCAGCAGTTCTCACGTGCCCCCCCCATGCTGGGGGCTGTCTCTGCTCCCATGGCAGTCGTAGGACAGCGAGAGCCAACAGCAAGGAGCAGCTGGTTCATAGCCATGATGTGCCTGGATGGGCCTGGCTGCTCTCCTGTCTTCTTGGGGTGCCTCCCTGCTGTGTTTGTCTGTGGTTGCCTGAAACCTGTTTTTATATGGGATGTTCCTACTACCATCCTTCCTACATTCCCCAATGTCTGATATCACTGAGCAGCTCTTGTGCTCCCTCCTTTGCCAGGTTACCTGTATTCCTGCTGGGAATGTCACCTCTTTAAGCTCCTTATCCTCAATAACTGAAATTGGCTGTGGCATTTAAAAGCACAGTGATGGTGGACATTGGACAGGATCATGTTAATCACTGAGTGCTGGAGCAGGGGATCAGAACAAGGCAGTCTTGGGGGATTTCTTCCTGTTTCCCTCCTCATCCTTATGTCTCCTTCTTGCCTCACACAGTTGCCTTCATCATTGACCTGGACAGTGACACGGCTGACAAGTTCATCCAGCTGTTTGGCACCAAAGGGGCCAAGCGGGTGCTGTGCCCCATCCCCTACCCAGAGAGCCCGACCCGGTTTATCAACTGCGAGCAGGTGCTGGGTGTGAACCTCATGAACCGGGGCAACTACTACTGGGAGGTGGAGCTCATCGATGGCTGGGTCAGCATTGGCGTCATCGCTGAGGACTTCAACCCCCAGGAGTCCTACAACCGCGGGCGCCTGGGGCGGAACGAGAAATCCTGCTGCCTGCAGTGGAATGGACAGAACTATGTGGCCTGGTTTGGTGGCTTTGAGTCTGTCATCCAGCAGCCATTTTTTCACACAATTGGGGTCTTCCTGGAGTATTCAGAGAAGGCCCTGACCTTCTATGGAGTCAAGGACTCCAAGATGACCTGCTTGCAGCAGCTCAAGGTCTCCTATCTTGCCAAGGGTCAGTCTGACCCATTCCAGAACAAGATCAACAACAAATTCACTTCTCTTTTCTTTTGCAAGCTGAAACCAGCCTTCTTCCTGGAAAGCGTCGATGCCCACCTGCAGATTGGGCCACTGAAGAAAGATTGTGTTTCGGTGCTAAAGCGTAGGTAACTGCCCAGAGAGCAGGAGCATGGGAAGACCCAGAAAAGTCTTTCCTGCAGTGTATCGTCACCATCATGGCTTCTCTTTGGTAGTGTTGTATTTCTCTGTGGCAGCCCTCCCTCCTTGCTTTGTGCTATTGATGACCCAGGGGTGGATGAAGCTGTCTGGTGGGCAGGGCTGGGAGCTGGATCCAAGTGCTGGCTCTGCCTCTGGGCTGCTGAGCAAACTTGGGCGAGTCTCTGTACTGCTCCCTGCCCCTCAGTTTCCCTTTCTGGACATCAGGGACTGTGATACAGCCTTTCTTGGTAAAGTGTGTTGCTCAGGAGAAGTGCCACATAGATTTGAAGCTGTATCTTGGCCAGCTGCCAGGCTGCCTGGTCCCTTTCCTTAATATCTGCTTGCACTGCCCTGGCGACTTGCACAGACGATCTGCTTTGTGCCTTATCTCGGTCTCTGTGTCACTGCTTTTTGAAGCTTTAGCTCATCAACACCTTCTTCGTGCTCCTTATGAAGTGCCTTCGAAGTAGCAAACCCAGCATGGACTGAGCGAATCCCCAAACCAGATGAGGTTTCTTCCCCAGTGCCTGCATCACTATTGTGCCTTGTTGTGGGTGGGCAGGGTGCTCCGGGGCAGGTGGGATGCAGAGGAGCCTGGCTGGGTACAGGGGCTGACCTCTCCTTGTGGGGCTGACCACCCGTTAGTGCTGCAAACATGAAACGAGGATCTTTGCAGCTGGTATTTTGAGTGCCGGTCTGTGGATAGGCTCATCTGGGAAAAGCTGTGGTCCCATGTGTGTTGGAGCCCTGTGGCAATTGGGTGGTTCCCCACTGCAGCCAAAAATCCCAGATGGGAAAGGGGAGAAACCTCCTGTTGAGAAGCAGCAGCACCATTCCTGCCTTGAGATGGTGAAGCAAGTAGCACAAAACAGTTTAAAGGATGTGCTTTTAGTAAACACATTCCGTGGAAACTGCTTACAGAAGCTTTACAGCCAAATTTCCCCCAATGTTTTTGATGACCCAGCTATTTTAGGGGGATTTTAATACTGGTGAACTCCCAACTCTTAAAGTACCCTGGGCACACTTGAGCTCTAAATGTACCCCTTAGCTGAGAGAGCTTTTTAAGTGATAAAGAGGTGCTGTGAATATGTCCCAGGAGTAAATAGTTGATAAAAGTTTAAAAAAAAAGTTTAAAAAAGTTAAAAGATAAAAGTTGCAGTGTCAGTCAGTATTTAAATAACCCTTTAGACTCCAGCAATAAATAACAATTAACAAAAACTACTCTCAAGCAAGTGTCCCCTTCAGAAAAGGTGGAAACTTGAGGCTGAGAGCCAAAAATGCCAGTTCACGTGTCCTGAGGGAGCTTTTCCAAAAGGAAAATACAGAAATATCGCCTGTCAGAGCAGCACAGTGCAGGCCCTGTCTCAGTGCACTGTGCCTTTCCACAAGTTTATTTTTTCTGGGATTAGTTTGCTACCTACCTCCCAAAGCTTGCTTTACAGAATCATAGTGCTGTGTAATATATACCTAGAGAGAAAATAAAGAAATCAGGTTCTTCACTGGCGTGAGTGAATCAGTGATGACGCATCGACAGTCAACAGGGATAGAAAATGGCCCATTTAGCTAAATATATGAAATATATATATATTCCCCAAAGGATAAGATGGAAATCATAGTGGTATATTCAAGCAAGAGCCAAGGGAAAAAAGTGAATGTGAATAAAAAGGCAGCCACAAAGCCAAGAGGTTTTAAGTTAAAGCCACGTTTACATAAACACTGAGGCTTAAAGAGCTCCTTTACTGCAGTTGGTTTGTCGGCGCGGCCGATTCCTGCTGGCGCAGGAAGAGGTGCTGGGCCCCAGCAAACGGCCGCCACTGTGAGCTCTCCTTTGAGGGGCTGAAGGGTCCCAATGCAGCCACCCCCTCCCCAGGGCAGGGCTGGTGAGTTGCTCTGGGAGGGGAAATGCTGGGATGTCTGCAAATCCTTTCTCCTCCTCCTCCTCCTCCACATGAGGCAGCTCCTAAAATGCTGCAGGCGGTGGGAAAAGGAGAGGTAAGGCTTGCAGAGTAAAACCTTCAGATGAAATCTTGGCCTTTCCCATCGGCAGGAATGCTGCCTAGACTTCTGTCCAGATGGGAATTCACTCCCTGTGTCCTGAGCTCCTACCTCAAAACTGCTTTGTTTGGCTCTTGCCAGTCACTCTCCTGCAAAACTCAGACTTTGCACGAGATGTCAACGGTGACACAGTGCAGGCACCGCTTGCTATCACCAGGGAGGACTTGGTGTCAGAAATGCCTTACCAGATAACAAAGGTAGAGACATGCAACAGCCCGTGCCCGGTCACGTCCTGGGAGGAAGAGGAAGGTAACCTGGATCTCTGCTGCACGCCTGCAGGAAGAGATCTCACATGTGGACTCCCATCTCAGCTCTCTCTGGGCCCTAAATCTCAATTTATTCAGGCAAAACTCCCACCATTCGCAGTGAGGAGTTTTGCCAGAGTAAATACAGCAGATCTGGGCCTTTGCCCCATTTCATTTCGCCGTAGGCGGATTGATTGCTCCGTGGGGAAATCCATGCTTGAGCCATGCATCCCTCCCTTCTCTGTGTTGCCCAATGCACAGACACAAGTCTCTGTACGCCTTCGGGGATTGGGATGGTTCAGAGGGATCCTATGTCTTTCTCTTTCCATCCCGTAACCATACGGGAGCAGCTCAGGAGGACGCGTCTGGCGCTTGGGCTTCGCTTCTGGTTGTGCCACTGCTTTTGCTTCATTCACTTCTGCCCCGAGAGCTGGGATAATGATAGCAGCTTTACGGAGGGTTTTGAGTGCTCCTGTAGATGCGACGCAGTTGGGAAGTGCTACCCAACCCTCTCCTTCCTGCTGCTTTCTTTTGTCCTGGTTGGAAGCTCTATAAATCTTCATGGTTTAGGGCATAAAGCAAATTCTGACCAGTTTAAGATGGGAGCAATCCCCCCGGGGTGTCGGACCAGAGTTTGCTCTGTGTTGCCAATAATTTGGGGTGTAAACTGGAACGATTAGGAAATGTGCACTACACCAGCTCTGGATTGCTGATTTTGTTGCAAATGAAGGGCCAAATGTGGTGTGTGATGAGTTTAGATGGATAGATAGCACTTGGCAATTTAAACAGCCTTTCCATGTTCGTTTGAGTTATTTCTGCTGTCACAGAGTATTCCTCTTTTTAATTAGGATTTAAAAAATATAGTTACTGTATTTTATGGTGTGTGAAAAAACTGTAACAGAATAATATAATGATGTTAGAGACTACTTGCCATTAAATATTATACAGACATAGCTCTGGGTTGTCTTTCCTTTAAATACCAAACTGTTAGAGTTGTCCCGTTATCTCGTGTTTATTTTTCTGTGTCCTGTACATCTGGCATAAAATAACACAGATTTTATTTTCCAAGTGTATCTCAGGGAATTGTGCCAAATACACTTTTTTTTATTGCTTGACTGCAAAAGGAGCGGAAGAATCCTAAAATCCAATAACAATATTGTCAGTCCTGGGCAATTCAATACAATTAATTGTCTCGGTTCTCTCTTCTACCTCTGTCCTCAGTTTAGAAATAACAACGATGAACAGATTAGGCCCTTTTTCTTTAGTGTTTTCAGTTTTTAGAGTATAAATTTCCAGTGTTTCTATGAGATGAGGAGGTCTAGAGCTTCCCACGCACACTGGCACTTAAGACCAGCACCTTTTTCAAATGAAAGCTGTGTTTGTTAATACCAAATGTCATCTGGAGCTAGGAGAAAAACATTTGGCGAGTCTTAGTTCGTATGAGGTGGCAATGCTTCAGCTGAGTGCTTCAGTGGAAGCCGAGTGGATGTCTGCTACTGACTTTAATAGGAGAGGAATCAGGACTGTTTGTTATAACCATTTCTTAAAAGGGAAACTTACAGCTTATTGAAAAAGCGGATATGAAAAGCACAAACTTGCTCTTTTCTTGCCAAGAACTGTACAGATTATGTCACTGCATTTATTTAAGTCTGGTTTCCATTATGTAGTTTTTCTGTTTTTTCCCCTGTACCCCATCTGAGGCACTCAGGGCTGGGCTGCAAACCCTGCAGGGAAAAGCTCAAATCCATATAGAAAGATATAATTTAGGGTAAAAAAAAATAATATATATGATTTAGAGTAATATATGCTCTTAACATGTATTTGTATATTATTGATATACAGTTGTCAGTTACTGATAGGCAGACCCCTTCAAACCAGTTGATTAGTTTTGCAGGGCTCCCATTTTTGATGAAATTATGCAGTCACTGATTTTTTAAGAGCTCCTTCTGCCTGCACACCTGGAAGCAGGAGATTAGACCCTTACTGTAGCTTTGCAAATGCTGCAGGTATTTTCCTGCTCCCACATTCCCGACAGACAGACAGACAGACAGAGTCCTGACTTGTTTATAGGGCGACTGGTTAGTCCTTCCAGTTAAACACTCTCCAATATAAAGGGGTAATTTTAGGATGTGATTGATTCCAGCATGGAGAGCAGCCAGTATCAGGCTCAAAAATCCATTTGCAAGGGTGTGAAACATGGAACGTGCATCAGACAAAGTAAAAAATTGTGGGAAACGGAGCAAACATCTTTGCTGTTTAAGGGGTTAAGCCTCATTTTATGTGCAGTACTACCAGGTATGTGGGATGATTTTTGTTCGACTCTACGGCTGAATTCTGCCCTGCCCACCTCCTGAAAGTCCAATTTTGTCTCCATTTCACTTAATTCTGGGCTTTTCCCTGGGACATCCTGCCAAGCAGCGTTAAAATCACTTGTGGTTGCATGTGATGTGCAAACAGTCCCTTCGTACATTGCAAAACTGGACAGCCTCCTAGGGAAAGGGTTTTGTCCGCTAGTGAGCCGGCCAGGAAATGTCTTCAGGATAAAAAATGAGGTGCAAACTGCAGCAAAATACAGTGTTTTAAAACAAAACATTGATGTGAACGCCGTCAGGGTGCTCTGTGAACTCCCACCCGCGAAGCGCTGCTATGCCAGGGCGCTCCTGTGAGCAGAAAAGGCAGAAAAACTGCCGCCAAGTTCAGGAGAGCTCCAAAGAGCTTAAATCATTTTATTGTATACAGCCAGCAGGACACATAATGGGACGATTAATGAATGTATAAACATGTTACAGGGTTCTCCCAGACAGGTGGCTGGCGCTTTGGATTAGCCCGTTGTGTATTAGAAAACTGAAGGACTTTAATAAAACCTAAAAGCTCAGTAAAGTAATATTGATTCTAAATCGTGGTGGAAGGGGCTGGAGGCTGCGGGTCTGCTCTCAGGGGCGGCCAAGCCGAGGATAGCAGCTCCCAGCGGGGCTGGGCCTGCTGCCCCTGGGCTCCGGGGGC